TCTGGACAGAAGCTTCTTTATCAGTTAGAACTTGTTCTTCATGTTCATTATGTGAGTACACATTGTCCAGAAAACCTGTTCCTGGTCCAATCGGGTCTTGATATTTGTGTCATAGTCAGCTTCAGGTAGATAGCTGGAGTTGGAGCGTGTGCCATGGCCTTTTAATTGTGACCGTTTCAATAGTGAGGAGGTGAATTGAGATTGGCGCACAAAGACGTCAGTGAATAAGTAGGTTGTGTTGATTTGAGCGCTCTGAATAGTGGTAGTGTGTGTCAGGTCATGGACAGCAGAGGTATATTTGGACTCGTAATTGCTTAAATCCATTTCCAGTCAAAGAGCCTGGAACAGTTACTTAACAGCATCCTGAGCTGCTTAGGTTTGGGCTTCATTTGGTGTGCCGCTGCTGCATTTAATTAGTATAAGTGATCTATTTTTACTCGACGCAAGTGTACACTTCATTTCATTTCAACCCCACTCGTGTTTAAAAAGTTTGTGTCAATCATGGGCAGGACTTGAGCAATGTTTCAGAAGAACTGAGGATATCAGTTGTCATTTGGCTGGAAATGATGCACTCCTGTTAGTGTACTCTGCGCTTACCGGGTGGGTGTTGCACCACCTTAGCAATGGTTTGGCATCTGTGTCGGTACACACCTTTACAACAGGACTGAAATTATGGGGAAACCTACCTAACCACAATCATGACTCAAGGCGATAGTATGTTGAAACCGCAAAGCTGTTGTAACTTTGTGCTCTGAAATCACATTTTATATGAATATTACACATCTGCCTATCAGATATTTTTAAAACATGACTGCTAAACTGACTCTTTTTTTTTTTTCACGTTATAAAATATCAAACATCAGTATGTCATTTATATGGTAGGTTACAGTCTAGTAAGCAGAATAATATACAATCAAATGATTAAAAGAAACCATTTCAAGGTGATACAAGACCTGATCACCCTGTTTATTTTGTGATCATATCCAGCTTATTGAAAAACTGAATATAAAATCCTCATCTCTCTCTAGATTTAACAGGGTTTCCGCAGGTCCTTGAAAAGTCTTAAATTGTTGTATCAAATTTAAAGGCCAGGACACACCAAGCCGACTGTCGGCCGTTGGCCAACGTCAGGCCGACGGCGAGCGACGGTCGGGCTAGTTTGTTTGGTGTGTTGCTCTCGTCGGGCTCACGTCGGCGGCAGTTTGCCCGATTCAACATGTTTGGAGACCGTCGGTGCGAGTGAGAGCTCTGATTGGATGTTCAGTTTAGCGAACGAGTCAGTGCCTGAGAATTAAAGCGAAAGTGATGAAAACAAGCACGTAAATGAAGACGGTACAGACAGAAGGCTGTTTAAATGTTACGTGATCTTTCCAAATCATTCTAATACACGAATGTTTTCATAACATGAGCCGCTTAAAATTATTAAAGTTATCAACGTTACTGATATTCAAAATGGTAAGCAAGCGCTGCTTTGTTTACGTCTCGTATTTCTTTGTTTCGGTTTCTCCTTTTGAATGACGTATATTTACTATTGATAGCTGCTGATATAGACAGTTAATTGCTCTCACGCATGTGCAGAATGCACGTGTTAGTTTGCCCTCGGCTCGGCTGTAGTCTGTGCGGTGTGTTCGAGCGCAGCTCTTTGGTCTGACGCTGCCGACGTGAGGCGACAACACCGTCGGCTTTCGTCGCCACTAGTTCTTTTTGAAGTCGGCTTGGTGTGTCCCGGCCTTAAGGCCTTAAAAGTCTTAAATGGAACCAGAAAGTCTTAATTATGATTTCAGGAGGTCTTAAATTTGGGGAAAAGAAAGACGAAAAAATGCAATATGGCTGAATGTGAGATTAAATTTCAAAAGGCTATGATTGCATTAAATAAACATGAGCGCTTCAAGTTTCGCTGCTGCTGCTTTGTTTACTGCCGTTATCAGGGAAACCGCTGTATTTCTGCCGCTTCAAAAGCGCCTCCAGCTGGTAGAGCTATTGTTTCTGATCGGACCAATGTGAAAATCAACCCATGTTTTTACACTGCAAACACGCAGAGTTGGTAATGTGAACTGGTGGATCAACAAGAAGATAATGCATTATAAAAATGTAAACAATTTAGACGGTAAAATATATTTCATTAAGAGTTGGTTGATAATAGTTGTGTAAATTAATAATTGATAGCTTTTCCTTACGAAAATGAACCATGATTTTACTAAAGTAAATGTGTAATAACCATGTTTTTTTTTTTTTTTAGCATATTGACTGCCATTTGTGTACACCATAGTTTTACTAAAAAATACCATGGTTAAACTATGGTTAGTGTCCGTGGTGGAAACGGCCAAAATTCACTGGGGGAACTCCAAGTTGGGGTAACTGTATCTGAACTGTAAATCATGCTTTTTACAATCCTTTGTTTAATGTTACCATAGATGCTGTCCTTCCCTGCTTATATGGTATTAATTTTATTTGTGCAGGTCTTAAAAAGTTTTAAATGTGAGCTTTAAAATCCTGCAGAAACCATGTTTAAGTTTTATAGTTATTTTTTGGAGATTCTCTTTTTTTCTATTAGATCCATAGTCTGCTTCATAAGGCTTGTAAATACAATTTAGTCACAATATAACAAAATTAGCGACAGATCTTTTCTTCCATAGTGTGATGTAAAACCCGAATGAATGATTATGGAAGACATATAAATTGTTTCGACGGAGATCTGAATGCGAGCTTGCAATTGACTAAGAAAGGGGTGGGTTTATGAAAACAAAATGATTGTCCAGCATACGTGACCAGAGAGAAGTCAAATGTTTCACTGGAAGATCATTTTGATGAAGAATTATGAGGTAAAATTGTTTTTAACAAACACATCCATGAATGAATTGTGCACAATGAGATCTATAACATGCATTTTGAAAATAGATTGGGTGATTTTTTTTTTTTTTTTATGGTTTAAAAGCTGCATATGTAGCTGCGTGGCACGCAGTTTGCATGTCAGAATTTAAAAAGATAAAGATTTCATTGAGATTTACTAGTTTCATCATCATCAGATTTCATCCGTCCTGTTGAATTAGTGTGCTTGGGTTTAGCTTGATCATTTCTCTTCCGTCTCTTCTGCACTCTGTGCCTTGCAAACCAAGCACATGGTGCATGCTCAAATAATATGAAGCACGCTGATGTGTAGTTAAACACGTTAATTAAAGCTCACATGAGATTAGTTAGCTGTACCTAAATCATAGGGGACTGAGTTTCATCTAAACATGCTGGAGATGCTTTCTGCTTTAGGATCTGAGCTTTGAGCCACGGGTCCACATAACCCTGGAGAAAACAAAAGTGTACAAATAATTTTTATATTTCCTAAATGCATTACTAAATGGGGTGCATTAATAATCTGTTAAATTGATAGTTAGGTTAGGATTTAAATATAAGATTAAAAAACGAATTAATTGAATCTGGATTATACTGAATTATTTTGATGGTCCGATGGTCCTGTTGGGACTCCTTGCATGTTTAAATGTTGAAACCAGGGGTGCCCAAACTCGGTCCTGGAGGGCCGGTGTCCTGCAGAGTTTAGTTCCAACCCCAATTAAACACCTGAAGCAGCTAATCAAGCTCTTATAGGCATACTAGAAACTTACCAGCAGGTGTGTTTAGGCAAGTTGGAGCTAAACTCTGCAGGACAACGGCCCTCCAGGACCCAGTTTGGGCACCCCTGGTTGAAACTCTCCTGTTTTAGGGATTCACTCCGCTGCAGTTCCGCTGGTTGCCGATAAGTGGCGACATGTAAACACTGTGCTCAAAGGCATTCCCCGTAAAATAATGTTTTGACTGTGTATATAATAAAACAGACTGGAAAACATTTTTAGTGAAATTAGTATTTAAAAAAAAAAAACTTTTTCCCCAAAAGGTTATGCAATAACATAACATAACATGTATGAAGAAGCGGTAGTTATGTCTGCCTGGATTCTGTGGTAAAAATATAGATGCTGAGTAATAGAATTGGGCTGTTAAGAGCTTTTGCCTTGAGACTTTTGATGGAAATAACATCAACTCGCTCCAACCGGGTTGCCTTATAAGGCAAGTCGAGTTTGAATAAATTATCCAGAGCGAGTCGGAAGACTGTCAAAGTGGGCGTGGCTGCATAAATTAGTCAAATACCTCTCGCTCTCCGCCAATAGCGCGCGCCGAGCAGCGCTGGTGTGAAATAAATTATGCAAATAGCACAGGCTGCAGATACTCACCAGCGCGGAGATGAGCTGACCTTGGGGTTTCTTTGTGCTGCGGCGCTGGATGTACGGTCTCCTGATAAAGCGAGGTTTCTGCTGGGGACTCACGCACAGTGTTCCTGCAAACGCACACAAAGGATGTAAAGCTCCAGAGGCTGTAGGAAGGACACGCGTTCGCTCCCCTGCGCGGTTTCTTATGGACGCAATAGCATGAGTTCTCCATGCTACTCCGTGGCGATGGATCTTGGTGTTTGTCAGCTTAGAAATTTCTCAATCTCTTTCCTCTCGTCGCTGTTGGGGACCGAGACCTCGTCCGTCAAGCTCGACAATAGGTAACGTTAAAATGTCAGAGTTGTGTTGGCAATAAAGCTCGTGCATGAATGCCTGTGCTCAGTGCAACACACAAGCGTTGAACATGAACATACACGACGCGGTGCTGTTTTTGGATGATTCGGGTCATTTCTATTCCAGCCGAACGGTTTTAACGCTGGGTTGAAAGCTGTGAAAGCTGTGAGCAGCTCGCCTGCTCTCTCGGGTGTCTCTGAAAGATGATGCTGAAGGCAGCTTCGAAGAGGTCAAATGTGTCTCTCCGAGTGAATACAGCAGCGCTTGACGCCTTCTAGAGATTTCCATAGGAAACCTGGCACTATGTACTATTACTTTGTCTTAAAACAACGACGTTTTCGACGTTCTGTGCGTTTAGGACGATATTTAGTAGGCGTCGCCATGGTTTCTTGTGTGTTGCTGGTGTATTAAAGCGGTGAAGTAACGTTAACGTGTCTCTCTTTTCCCCCACAGCTCGTCGGGTGCCAGTGTTGTGGCTATAGACAACAAAATTGAACAGGCGATGGTAAGTCATCCTGCTTTTCTTGTCATAAACGTGAAATATTCGAGCAGATGTTGTGTTTACATGCCGCAAGCAGGCTGTGGAGTCGCACCAGTGTCCGTGACAGGAATTATGTAATCGTTATCAAATGATTGTTGAGACGGCCGCTTTGTAAATTAACCTCATCGTTCAAGCTCATTCGCGCTAGTCTAAAGTAAACGGCTGATAAGAAAACGTGCTTGGGGTTTTGCCTGCGTACTCACGCGATCCGTGCGCCTTGTTACTGTTGCTAGGCAAACCCCAAAGCTTTTACACCTAGTTAAAAATATCTCGGCTTCTGATTGGCCTGACGCGCTGAGGGACGCCATTTTGTTGGTTTGGTGACGCTGGGTAGCGAGTCAGATGCAGATTAAAGCTTTATAACAGCAAACGCGAGCGGGCAGTGGATTTGTGTTTTTACGCAACACTATGATGCATGTAATAAAGTGAATGTAATACACCGATGTTTTGAAACTAACACTCTGCTGTCCGCTTTCAGGATCTGGTGAAGAGTCACCTGATGTACGCGGTCCGTGAAGAGGTGGAGGTGTTGAAAGAACAGATTAAGGAACTGATTGAGAGAAACTCTCAGCTGGAGCAGGAAAACAACCTGCTGAAGAACCTGGCCAGTCCGGAGCAGCTCGCACAGTTCCAGGCGCAGGTCCAGAGCGGCTCGCCCCCGTCGGCCCCGCTCGCAGCACAGAACTCTGGCCCGTCGGCGTAGCTCCGAACGACAGTTCCTGTTCCTGTGGCTGGAAACGGACTGAAGCTTCTGAACAAACATGCCTCGCTCACATGTTAGACTGACAGAATTTGCACACCTCTCAAAACTTGACAATGTCGAGGTGATTTACACACCAGTGACAATCCAGTTGGCCGAGGCGGGACGTTGCCAAACTCCACGGAGTGCGATTGTCAGGAAAACAATCCTGGAGGACGCGATATAAAGAATCAATGTGCCTGTGTCTAAAGTCCCGTTGGTTTTCGGTCAAGGCTGTTTTCCGTGTCTCCCTTACCTTTTGTGTAGTGTACATGCTGACGGCGGTCTGTTTAGACTGCGGGCTTCTTCGGAAGCAAGCACTTTTATGGTGACGATTGTGATGAGACTTCGAAGAGCTGCCGATCTGTGCCCCGGCTGGCATGGGGAAGGCAGACGCATCGACTTGCTTAGTTGCATTGGTGTAATCATGATACTTGTTTTGGAATGAAGAAAACGACGAGGAGGTATGAGCCTTCAAATCCTCATTCGTTCCCTGTGCAGTGAGGATGACGGATGAGCTGAATTGCGAGGTGGACAGGCTGTATATTATTGTATGATTAGTGTAAGTATTTTGTAAAATAGCGATATCATGTGAAGCGGCTAAAGAGACACTATATAGGTTGTACAGATTTAAGGGGTTAGCGAGGTAGTTGGCTTACCCAGGAGGCGGCGTCATCCTTTTTTAAAAAAATTTTTTAATGCTGTTAAGCAGGATCGGTCTTACGATATTTATCTGGCAGATGGAAACTACTCATCTAACACCTACTGTACACTACTTTTTTGTTCACTTGAGATGATTTTGAAGTATTACACCCATGTGATTTCTGTTTTCAGTTTGAGCAGTGAAGTATTCTGGATCTTTTAACTTGCATTTACTCTCGACTATCATATAGCTGACATGGATTTGCATTGTGTACAACTTGTATGCTTCTGTTATCTGTGCATGTTCTCAAAACCAGGAGATAAGTTGTAAAATACTGTAATTGCACTTGCCAGTTGCGCTTCACAACTCTCAATAAAGTCATGTTTGTGAAAACCCTTGACGCTTGTGTGACGTGTGCCAGATGTTTTCATTGGATGAACTGTAGAAATGATAGTCGGTGTAAGGTTTATCGTGCGATTCTACAGACTGGTGAGTATTTCTATCATATTCTCATGTTGTGATGGCTGTGTTTTTCTAGTTTAGACGGTTCGGTAGCAACCTGAAAAAAACCATTTACTTAAAGACATGATTAAAATAGATGAATCGACAGATCTTTTACGTATTGTGGCATACCTCTGAGTGTAACAGGTTATCATTTAAAAAAACAAAAAAAGGTGTAAATGTTTTCATCGGAAGATCAAGTTATATTTTGATCAATTCTAAGGTCAATATATATATAACTACATATAAATTAAAGTGATATATGAAGATGTATATTAAAAATAAAATGCATGTATTGTATGGATGAATCGTTCACAATAAGATCATAAAAAGCCAGTTTTGACATAGCATTACTATTAAGTTTTGTTGGTCTCCATCCCAGCGGGCACCTTCAATTCGATGTCAAATATCAGTCACGACTTGATCAAGATGCTGTAACATCACTTTAAGTTCAGTTTGGACGGCAGTTTCTTCTAGTGGTGAAAATAAGAAGTTAATCCCACACTGAAATTGGTTGAATGTATATGTAGGCCAATATGTTTGACGTTCAATTTGCATCAAATCAACGTCATGTCTAGTTTTTGACGTCGGTTGGATTTGTATATTTGACCTGTCTTTTCAACAGCAATTGCCCACTAGGATAGTACCGTTCATAATTAAATTTTAAACCCTACAATGCATAATGGCTATATATGGAAAGGAATCTAAACGGGTCTCTCTTTATGATTCCTGAAAAATCTAAACGTTGAATTTAAAATATTTTCGCTTTCTTCACTCTATCCATGTTTACTTCTAGACTACCGAGCTACAACACGCTTATGTTCAATGAACAAGAATCAAGACTCCGCAAAGGTTTGCGGACTTGCGGATTAAGATCCAGATAAGCCATACATTTCAAAAAGATCTCTGATTGTGATCAGCTCCAGTTGGGTTGTCTGTACAGTTAGTGTTCCGCCATTTTTACATCTGCTGTAACATTCGTGATGGTTCACAAAATCTGAACTGGTTTTGAATAAGCAACACTGACATGAGGCATTATCCAAATGTGTTTGACGTTTATTTGAAAAAGGCTCACGCAAACGGTTAAATAGAGAAATAGATCATGGCAATCATCAATCACAAATAAATAGGACGAACATGACACGATGTGCCAACAGCAACAATGGTTTTGTAGAAAAGCATGTGCTCCCTTCATCCAGGGACACTGTAAACATGTGTGACAATGTCGTGTAGTATTGTACACTAGATCCAGCTGAGCATACAAGCCTCTGACCCACAAATCAGTCTTCCTTCAGATTGTATCCAGTCACCCAAAAAGCTCATTCAGATGTAGGGCAGAGTATGTGAGGAACGCTGGGACTCACATTCCCATTCGGATACTTTGAATTATCTGAAAGATGGCTGAAAACAAGAAAGAAAGAAAAAACATATTCAGTTTATTATTACAAAAACACGGGGCGCTTAATAGCAATCAGCACATATAATATCAAAATGTAATTTTACCTGATCCACAAACAACAAATACAAAGAGTGCCAAAAGCCATGGCCCCACCGGATATTTCTCCTCCTGCGGTCGCTGGAACAGTGAAAGTCAAAGTGTTTCATAAACAAAATATATTTCATAAACAAAAAAATGGTTTGGAATTTCTGCAGATATATCTCTTTACACATGACACAAATGTCTAAATAGTGTCTCAGGAACAAAAAGAAAACAAACACCTGAAGACTTGTTCCTGTGTTGTCTATACACAAAATGCAAGTGTTTTTTTTTTGCATAAAGATATATCATATAGCTGACTATATATATATATATATATATATATTAATAATTTTTTTTTTGTTTTTTTTCTGGATGTTGACAGTTTAACAGGATCTTTATCATGCATTAACCCTTGAACACAAAAACAGCCAATGATTTCCTTGACGCCTGTGGCAGATGTTGTGACCCGGTTACACCGCACCTTTATAAAGGAGGGTCAGCAGTGGTCAGATTAGTTAAGTGCATCTGTCAGCAGCTCGTACATCTGTGGCCATGGCAACAACATAGGCGTCAACGTTAACTAAATCTGGTTTACAGCATGCTTATCGACTCATAAAGCTTATTGAGCAGATTGTGATTATGTAAAACCATAGCGCGTTTACGTTGCTTGCGAATTAAGCCTAATTTAAGATGATCCCTGATACTGAAAAGACTTGGGTAACGTACAGAATTAGACTTACACTCGCCTCGTATGATGTTTGAATAAAACAGCATCGTTAAAAACTGACGATGGCCTCGAAATGAGCCAGGATAACCCCAAATCACGCACATTAAAATAAACCGAAATCCACACAGAGAAGCCGAGATCGTCGTTCATTAACATGCATAGAGACGACAAACGACAGTCTTACCAGGGTCTTCGCCACGTTCCCCCTCTGGGTGATGTTTTTGCTGTGCTTCTCGTTTGCCATACGGATTCTTTGTTTTGCTACCATCTTCCGACCCAACGTCCAGGTATGAATTAAACGCTACAGTAAATCAAATATATTGCTTTATCTGAGGTGACGCTTCAGTCCCCTTCCCTGCACCTGCTCCCCTAAACCGAATTATGCGGGACGGAAGTGCGCCTCCATGTAGCCTAATAACGTCTAGTGGGACGCGCTCGCTGTTTAGCTCAGCTCCAGTAAAATACCCATATTTTTTATTTTTGTTCACATTTTTGTATTTTCAAATTAATTAAAATCTTGATATATTAAACCCCAAGATTAATATGACATAAAAAAAGAATAATTATATAATATAATTAAAAATATGAAACCAAATAAACATGTCATTCCCTGTTGGGAAATCATAGGCGTCAACGTTAACTAAATCTGGTTTACAGCATGCTTATCGACTCATAAAGCTTATTGAGCAGATTGTGATTATGTAAAACCATAGCGCGTTTACGTTGCTTGCGAATTAAGCCTAATTTAAGATGATCCCTGATACTGAAAAGACTTGGGTAACGTACAGAATTAGACTTACACTCGCCTCGTATGATGTTTGAATAAAACAGCATCGTTAAAAACTGACGATGGCCTCGAAATGAGCCAGGATAACCCCAAATCACGCACATTAAAATAAACCGAAATCCACACAGAGAAGCCGAGATCGTCGTTCATTAACATGCATAGAGACGACAAACGACAGTCTTACCAGGGTCTTCGCCACGTTCCCCCTCTGGGTGATGTTTTTGCTGTGCTTCTCGTTTGCCATACGGATTCTTTGTTTTGCTACCATCTTCCGACCCAACGTCCAGGTATGAATTAAACGCTACAGTAAATCAAATATATTGCTTTATCTGAGGTGACGCTTCAGTCCCCTTCCCTGCACCTGCTCCCCTAAACCGAATTATGCGGGACGGAAGTGCGCCTCCATGTAGCCTAATAACGTCTAGTGGGACGCGCTCGCTGTTTAGCTCAGCTCCAGTAAAATACCCATATTTTTTATTTTTGTTCACATTTTTTGTATTTTCAAATTAATTAAAATCTTGATATATTAAACCCCAAGATTAATATGACATAAAAAAAGAATAATTATATAATATAATAAATAATATGAAACTAAATATGTTATTCCCTGTTGGGAAATCCGGCTGAAACTGGTACTTGTTTTGGAGCATGGAAGTTCCATCTAGCTGTTTATTAGCTGATCCAAACCATTAACTAGTCATAAACTAGTCCAAAATGTCCATAAACTGGTACAAGCTGGTTATTACCTAATCCAAGATGGTAACTAGCTGGTCTAGGTTGGTCACTAGTTGGCTGAAGCTGGTCATTACTGGTCCAAGATGGTCACTAGCTGGTCTAAGATGGTCACTAGCTGGTCCAAGATGGTCACTAGCTAGACCAAGTTAGTCCAAACAGTTACTAGATTGACCTGGTCCTAGCTGTTCCAGGGTGGTCATTAGCTTGCCCTAGATCGTTACTAGCTGGACCAAGCTGACCATGACTTTTCTAGAATGGTCATTAGCTGGTCCAAACTGGTTATTAGATGGCCCAAGGTTAATATGACATAAAAAATTATAATTATATAATATAATAAATAATATGAAACTAAATATGTTATTCCCTGTTGGGAAATCCGGCTGAAACTGGTACTTGTTTTGTAGCATGGAAGTTCCATCTAGCTGTTTATTAGCTGATCCAAACCATTAACTAGTCATAAACTAATCCAAAATGGCCATAAACTGGTACAAGCTGGTTATTACCTAATCCAAGATGGTAACTAGCTGGTCTAGGTTGGTCACTAGTTGGCTGAAGCTGGTCTAAGATGGTCACTAGCTGGTCTAAGTTGGTCACTAGTTAGCTGAAGCTGCTCATAGCTGGTCCAAGATGGTCACTAGCTGGACCAAGTTAGTCCAAACAGTTACTAGATTGACCAAGCTGGTCCTAGCTGTTCCAGGGTGGTCATTAGCTTGCCCTAGATCGTTACTAGCTGGACCAAGCTGACCATGACTTTTCCAGAATGGTCATTAGCTGGTCCAAACTGGTTATTAGATGGCCCGAGGTTAATATGACATAAAAAATATAATTATATAATATAATAAATAATATGAAACTAAATAAACATGTTATTCCCTGTTGGAAAATCCAGCTGAAACTGGTACTTGTTTTGGAGCATGGAAGTTCCATATAGCTGTTTATTAGCTGATCCAAACCATTAACTAGTCATAAACTAGTCCAAAATGTCCATAAACTGGTACAAGCTGGTTATTACCTAATCCAAGATGGTAACTAGCTGGTCTAGGTTGGTCACTAGTTGGCTGAAGCTGGTCATAGTTGGTCTAAGATGGACACTAGCTGGACCAAGTTAGACCAAACAGTTACTAGATTGACCAAGCTGGTCACAGCTGTTCCAGGATATTCAGTAGTTGGTCTAAGCTGACCATAGCTGTTCCAGAATAGCAATTAGCTGGTCCAAACTGGTTATTAGCTGCTCCAAGTTGGTCACTAGCTGGACCAAGCTGACCATGGCATTTCCAGAAGGGTTATTAGTTGGTCCAAACTGGTATTTAGCTGGTCCAAGATGGGATAATCACTTTAATGTAGCTTGCGCCAACTGTCCTACACAGAAGCAGCTCCGGGTGGATGACGTATGAGGTCAGCTTTGCGCCGCTCAAAAGTGACGAATGCAGAAGCGCAGGGGAGAGATCAAAACAAAACAACGGTCACTTATTAGAAGAAGTACAAAACGAGGATTTGTTAAAGAAGAATGTCGGAGGATTTCGATATAAGCCAAGAAGAGACTGGTTTTCCTTTGCTAAAGTAAGGAAACTTTGCGTCATTTTCTCCTGTTAACAAACATTGGTTTTCACGAGACTCACCGGCGCATGCGCAATGCCGACTTCATACGTCATTCGCCCGGAAATGCTTCGATGTACAACTGTTGGCACAAGCTAGATTAAAGTGATTATTAAGTTTTGAATATAGATATTTTTCTTACAAAAACGCATCGATTCGCTGCAGGAGGCCTTTGTTCACCCCTCGGACCAGTGTGAGACACTTTTTTTAATGGATGGGCGCTTTTTATTTAACTTCTTTTGGACTGATGCATGCAACACCCGCTGAGTGGCATTTAACAGCTAGAAAGATCAAAGACCATTTAAATATAACTCCGACTGGATTCGTCTGAAAGAAGAAAGTCATATACACCTAGGATGACTTGAGGGCGAGTAATTTATGGGCTAATTTTCATTTTTGGGTGAACTAACCCTTTAAGCTGGATTTTCCAATGCTACCAATCTGATGCTTTGTCTAGTTTGCAATGTTATATATTTCAGCTAGATCTATTATTCCCATGTAACTTTAAGTTTCAAGGGACTTTCCATTTATTTTTTATTCTTTAGGGAGTGCAGTACTTTCCCTCAGAGTTTCCCCCAACTGTCAAGGTGAATAATGCCCTATTTTTGCTGTATTTTTGTCTTGGTGCCAGTAAATCAGATACGATGTTGCCTCAGCAATCGGCACAGGTCCTACAAGACGATAAAGGGGTTGCTTAGCAACTGCATCTAGGGGGTTTGTGCACAGCAGCGCACACCTTCAGTGCCTTAGCAGATAGATCAGGCGTTCTGGCTCACATTTCACATTACAACACATGTTGGGATGCAGGTCCATGGTACACATTTCTGCTGTATTCAAGACTCATCTAGCCATAAAAAATGCCACATTGTGCATATAGCTATGCGATATTATGGCTGACGTAATTAAATATATGTTTTCTCAGTAACATATTACAATTACATTTATTTTGTAATTCATTACGTACTTTCCTTACATGTAACTAGTTACGCCCCAACACTGCTCATAGCTGGTCTTTAGCTATAGATGGTCATTAGTTGTTTGACCAGTTAATATGTTGCAAAAACACATCTTGTAACTATCTAATAGTTATCAAGTTCCAAAAACCTAGCTACCATCTTAAGCTGAAGTTTCCAGCAGGGATTTCTTCCAACGCTTCCTATCTGATGCTTTGTCTAGTATATCTATCGGCTAGATCTAGTATTCCCATCATGCAATTTTTAAGTTGCAGGGGACTTTCCATTTATTTGTAATTCTTCAGGGAGTGCAGTGCTTTCCCACTGAGTTTCCCCACAACTGTCAAGGTGAATAATGCCCTATTTTTGCTGTATTTTTGACTTGGTGCCAGTAAATCAGATACGATGTTGCCTCAGCAATCGGCACAGGTCCTACAAGACGATAAAGGGGTTGCTTAGCAACTGCATCTAGGGGGTTTGTGCACAGCAGCGCACACCTTCAGTGCCTTAGCAGATAGATCAGGCGTTCTGGCTCACATTTCACATTACAACACATGTTGGGATGCAGGTCCATGGTACACATACTTTCCATTTCTGCTGTATTCAAGACTCATCTAGCCATAAAAAATGCCACATTGTGCATATAGCTATGCGATATTATGGCTGACGTTCTTTTGAGATCTTCTGACAGACATACATTTGTTTTATTGTTTATATGCTAATTAAAGACCCTCCGAGCATCAACACAACATCATTTTAATACAAGCAATATTACTCTTCATTAGCCGTTTAGGTTTTTCAATCCTCCGGGATGTAGATTATTTTGAAGGATGAAGCCTGTTATGTTACATATTTTACAAAGGATATTGTGTACTCAAGGGCTTGCTGGGTAACAGCCGTGTCTCACAGCAACTCTGCATTGACTTTCTGCATTCCACTCAGGCTTTACATTTTAATATGACCACAACACATACCACAACACAGGAGAACTGAGATGCATACTAATAGCGAAACTGATCCATAAAACATAAAACCTGCTTGTAAATAGCACACCAATACACCAGACATTTGATCACAGAGTGCAGGCAGCATACATAAGTAGTCTTTTCATTTCATTTTAAGGACAGAAGATGCATTGTGGATTCTGATTTGTGATAGTTAAATAGCCAGGGAAAAAGGACATATAGAGGCGAGTTATGTGACCATATCGAGGAAGTAAAACCCTTAACCCAGGATTCACCTCAACAGCTGCTCTAACTTCCTCTGTTTGAGCTTCAAATCCTATTTCTTTCTGTCTACCTCAAGGGTTTCTGCCCCCCTCTCTTTTGCTTTCC